AAACCCTAAACCCCTAAACCCCGGGTTTAGGCTTTGGGGTTTTGTTCCCCGTCATCTATGAAAAGGGCCTCCTCGTGGGCAAAGGCAGGGAAGAGGAGCGGGAGGGAGCGCCAGGTTGTGCGTTTCGATTCTCAGAGACTCCAATATCCCTTAATTAAGGAATATACCTTAAATTAGTTTAGGGTTTAGGGTTTAGGGTTTGTATAGTAGGATCCCTAGTATGATTTGAAATATATTCCTTAATTAAGGGATATTGGAGTCTTTCGATTGCCTCCTGACGGGCTTCCTCCATCATCAAGCCGAAAAAACAGGGGCTCTCGACCGCCCCCTGTTTTATGCCGGAGTCCATGAGAATTTCGCGGACTGACTCGTATTCGCCAGGAGCTGCTTCGCAGGTGGTTTCTGTCTTTCTTCCGGATGATGTACAGGTTGTTGTACTGCAAAGCGTCGCCACTCCCAGCAGCACATTTCCGGGGTATTCCCCAGGCGTTCCCGAAGCTTGGTGGCTAGTCGGGTCCTATCCACACTGTCAAAGGCTTGGTGGATGTCGATTTTCATGCATGTAATGGGCTTGCCCCATTCCCTAGCCAACTCCACCCTAAACCCTAATAAACCCTAAACCTCCAGCGCGAGCCACAACGTGAACACATGGTCCGTGCACTGCCGTTTGGCGCGTGCGCACCGGCAAGGTGAGCGGGGGCCCAAACCCTCAACCCTAAACCCTAAACCCTAAACCAACCAACCAACCTAAACCCTAAACCGGGGATCGGTTCAGCAGCAGGTGCGCACACCGTTTTGGATGCCCCGCTCCACAGGGCGAGGGTTCAGGGGGTTTCGGGGTTTAGGGTTTAGGGCTTAGAACCCCAGGGGTCCAAAGGACCCAATAATCAGGTACTTAGGATTTCGGATAGTAGCTATGTAGGTTACTATTTGGGAGAGTATATGATTATTAGGTACTTGGACCCTTAGGGGAAGGGTTTAGGGGTTTAGGGTCTTACGTAGGGTTTAGGGGTTTAGGACCCTA